CTCTACAACTGCTTGAAAGGAGGTTGTAGCAAGGTGGGGGTCGGTCTCTTCTCCCAAGTAACAAGCAATAGGACGAGAGGAAACAGCCTCAAGCTGCGCCAGGGGAGGTTTAGATTGGATATTAGGAAAAATTTCTTCACCAAAAGGGTGGTCAGACACTGGACCAGGCTGCCCAGGGAAGTGGTTGAGTCCCCATCCCTGGAGATATTTAAAAGCCATGTAGATGTGGTGCTTAGGGAGATGGTTTAGTGGTGGACTTGGCAGTGCTGGGTTAATGGTTGGACTCGATGGTCTGAAAGGTCTTTTCCAACCTAAATGATTCTATGATTCTGTATGGGTGGCATTGGCATAAATGGAATAAACTAGTTTCTGGTTGCCACTTCTCTGTAAAATACAATGGTAGACCACGTAATTTATACTTTGTTCTTTGCAGAGAAAGCAAAAATGTGTTCAAGGAAGTTTTTTTTAATCTGTACTCCTGAATCTTTATCAAAATTGCATTTACTGTAATACACATCAAATTGGTGAATATTAATTTCAGCTGAATTTTTCCATTGTCTGCTTGGAAATAATCTTTTATCCTTACCATGTGGAAAGAGGCATTACAGGTTTGGTTTTGTTAGCCTGTTGCCTTTCTTCCTAGCTATTGAGACGTTTTGCTCTTTGTTGTCTTGCTGTGGCTAAGAGAGGTGTGCTTTGCAGCCGACTGCCCAGCTTCCTGCAGTGCCGCTTCACAGGCCCAGAGAAGCCGCAGACGGAGGGGACCGCAGCTGCCAGCCAGCGGCAGAGCCCCGGTCAGGCCCCGTGGTGAGCCCTGGGCAGAAACCACGGCGGCTGCGACGGGAGGCAATGGGCGCTCCTGGCCGGCGCTGGGCGAGGGCGGTGCTCTTGCTGGGAGTTTCAGGAGTTCGTGTTTTGATTTCACTGGTGAGATTTTTGCAGGTTTTTCATCTGACAAATGCCGGGTGAAGGGAATGAGCTGAGGCAGGTGTTTATGGTGGTGTTTTCTCAGGGTGACGAAGGGCAGTTACACTTTGATGCACCAGGATTGCAGGTAGAAGTGGGCTGCTTTTCTGCAGAAGAAAAGCACTTGCAGGACCTGGTTGCTCAGACAGTCAGTGTCACCCCAGCTCTGAATAGAGGACAGACTGTTAAAATCCTTAAAATGTTGCTGATGAGCTTTTTTTAAATCTGTTATCTCCCATGCTGACCATGCATTTCACTTTCCCATTTCGTTCTCTCCCCAGCAGACTGCTAGGCTAGCTGGCATTTTGCATGAGCCTAGCCTAGCCAGCCAGTGGGATGTCAGGTATCTCCTCTTCTAGAAAGCATCTGCTGAACTACAACTTTTTGCAAACCTCAATTCCTGCAGCTTCTTGCAATGTTTTTGAAAAAAACCCAAGTCCGATCCAGCCAGGGGTCAGCCAGGCAGCCCCACCATAAAGCAGGGACAGCTGCAGTTAAACTTTGGAGCTGTTGGAAGCCAAGGGAAGCATTTCAGGGCACGGCTCACTGTTATCTCAGCAGCACTATTGCTAAAAGGCTCCACTTAATGCAGCATAAATCCCGGCCTGTTGACATAGCTGCTAAGTTGCAGTTTAACCCAAACTTCTCCTTTCCTCGCTCTTGTCGATGGTGAGAGAGAAGGGGAACGTGCCATCAGCACTTCACATGGGATGCTTTGAACTTGCGTTGCTCCTGGGCGAGCAGCTCCTCAGACCCACTCTGTGCTCTCTGCACGCTCCGTGCATCATGGTGGGAAACAAAACCGCTGTCCTGGTGTCACAGCTTCCCTGTGAAATGTGGAAGTGCATCCAAAATGGCCAGTGACTTGCACAGGGCATGAGCACTTAAATATTTGGGGCATGTTAGTGAAGAAACAGTAAATATTAGTATCTCATAGAAGGAAATAGATGCGTGTATGGTAAGGACTCAGTTAATTTTACAATAGCTGGGCTACGTGGCTTGTGATGAGCACTTAGGTGTCGTGGTTTAACCCCAGCCAGCAACTAAGCACCACGCAGCTGCTCACTCACTCCCCACCAGTGGGATGGGGGAGAGAATCAGAAGGGTAAAAGGGAGAAAACTCGTGGGTTGAGATAAGAACAGTTTAATAATTGAAACAACGTAAATTAGAACAGCTAAATAGGTAAAGCAAAAACCGTGCACGCAAAGAAAGCAAAACGAGGACTTCATTCACTCCTTCCCATGGGCAGGCAGGTGTGCTGCCATCCCCAGGAAAGCCGGGCTCCATCAGGTGTAATGGTTACTTGGGAAGACAAACACTATCACGCCCAATGTCCCCCCCTTCCTCCTTCTTCCCCCAGTTTATATACTGGGCATGACAGCATACGGTACGGAATAGCCCTTTGGCCAGTCTGGGTCAGCTCTCCTGGCTGTGCCCCCTCCCAGCTTCTTGTGCACCGGGCAGAGCAGGGGAAGCTGAGAAGTCCTGGACCAGGGTGAGCACCACTCAGCACCTATTTAGCAACAGCTTAGCACTACTTAACAAGAACCAAAGCACCAGTGTATCATCATCATCGACATTGTTCTCTTCCTAAACCCAAAACACAGCCCCATACCGGCTACCAAGAAGAAAATTAACTCTATCCCAGCTGAAACCAGGACATTAGGGAATCAGCCTAATTTTCATAGAAAGCCTCCACATGGGGTGTAATTCAGAAATGAGAACCCAAATGCATCCTTAAGAAGGAGCAGGGAGCACACTTGCTGCAGATGGAGGAGAGGATTAAAAGCAAAAGGTACCATCGCATCCCGCTGCCTCCTTATCCGGGGCTGAATGGAGGTGGAGGAGGACGGCCGGGGCCGGGGCTTCCCCCCTCGCAGTGCCACGGCACAGGGTGCCGACCCGCAGGGAGCCACCCCTGATGCAGAGGGGTTTAGCTGTCGCTGGCTTTGGCTGAGAGCATCCTATTTTGCCCTCTGCGGCAGCGGGCTGGGGCATTTCGGTCACCCAGGAGCCCCGGCCGTGGCCCCCTTTGGCCGCCGCGCAGCCCATCTGCTGTCACCCAAGCCTGGTTGTGAAAGCAAGCAGATCTGCACAACCCCTTCGTCTGAAGCCTTTGTCTTGAGGAAAGGGAAAAAGCTCAGAGTGAAACACCCTGAGGTGCTCTTCGTTTAGTCTGGTCTGGGATCCGAGAAGTATGCTTTTTCTTTGGGGAAAAATGTTGGAAAAATGTCTGTCCCAACGAATGCACATCATCCAGAGCTGTTCTCACCCAAGCAACAACAACCACATGTACACAGAGTTATGGGAATAAGACAATATACATGCAACCATTTTTTTAAAAGATGACTAGCAGTCTCTGATTTAGTTCTGGGAAAAGGAGAAAAAAAAAAAATAAAGCGCTCTGCGCCTGTGTTAAGCCTGTGGTTGCACAGCCCCTGACCTCCCCCTCCAGTTACCTCCCACCATCATACTTGTTCACTGCTGGCTGCCAATAAGAGCCTGAAGACTCAGAAAGTTTAGTTTCATCTTCCCCAGAGCCTCTCTGTGCAGGGTCCCGGCCAGCAAGGAAGCCTACGCTGACAGAGGCTGCTCGCCAGAAGGTTGGTTCTCTTAAAGCATGGAAATAGTAAAAACTTGTTAGCCTGGGAGGAGTGGGATAATAATGCAAAAGTAGAGGTTTATTTTTTTCCTGCCAGGTACCTACTTTAAAGCAAAATATGTGGCAAATCCTACCTGGGGAAGGGGGGAGGCTTTTAAGAGGCTCTTAGCAAGGCTGCTTAGCTGTGTGTGTTTTCTGGTAGGCTCTGAGGATGTGCTGGATGTAGCTGCTGTCCTGCCAGAAGCTTGGATATCAGTTGCTTTTATACGTTGCTGCCCGGTCTCCCTGTGCATTTGCTGTCCTTTTCAATGGGGTGCGCTATTGGTGACAGGAGCATCTTAATGTTGCAATCTCTTCATTAATGTTTGCAGCTAAGAGAGAAGAAAGTATGTGAATAATACTCGTATACAGAACACCGCGCGTTTGTAGAGGTGTAGATGTAGATGTAGATGTATGATGTGCCGGTAGGACGGCCGTGGGCCGGCGGCGGGAAGCGGTCGGAGGCAGCGTGTGCTCGGAGTTTCCCCCTGGACACGTACCCGGCCCTGCCCCTGGCTGCGCTCAGGCCAGGCGTGCGGGCTGCCCGGGGAGCCAGGAGCCGGGTTTCTGGAGCAGCGCGCAAAGGGTGGAGAGGGACGGTGCCCCCCTGCCAGCATCACCTTCATTTCGGTTTCTGTTCTGGCTTCTGAGCTCAGGAGCTGCGCAGGGAGGAGCCTGACCACCCAGCAGCAGGGCTCTGCCTTTGCCAAGCTGCTATTTCTAAGAAGAAAAAAAACCCAACAAGCCCAATTTGTAGCGAAAAGTCTCAACAAATGTGAGCAGGCAGTTTTTCCTTTTTTTTTTTTTCTTCCCCTTTCTTCTATTTGTGCATAAGTAGAAGAACTTGGCCTCAGGGCAAAACTTGCTTTCAATTGTTACCTGAAAATGTTTTGTGCTGTCTTTTACTTTGCTGGGAGAATAGGAGCACAGAGATTTAGGGTGGTTTTTTTTAGACCTGAGGCTTACTGGTTTTCTAGATTTACTTGCTTGCTTAACTGCATGAAGGCAAGGACTGGGGTTCAGACTTGGGACATGGCATTGAGTTTCTGCCTTTCTGGCTCCCTCCGACAAGAAACCGGAGATACTAGTTTTCTACAGTCTTTCTCTTGCATGGAACCCGGCTTTTTTACGAGGAAATGCTTCCAGCATGCTTTGTACCCATGCCAAAGAAATCTTGTGTAAAATATGCAAAGTTCAACAGCTGAAATACCTGAGTCACTGGCTTCAGCCTAGGTTCACTGCCTAGCCCTGCTTGGCATAAGGGAAATTGGTGAACTGTGTCTAAGCACTAGTGAAGCCTTTTTGGGGTGGAGTGGGGAACGTCAATGGCCTGATGCTACTTTGAAGACTGGATAAAATGGCAAAAAATGCAAAAACCTTGAAAAGACACAAATGCAGGTAAGATATGGTTATGCTTCGCCACCTCTAGTGGCAGCGAGGGAGCTGGGCAAAAGGCCGCCTGCTGAAGAGCGATGGCAACCAGCTTGGCTGGGGGATCAGACTGACTGCAGTTTTTTCACTAACTGTCCCATTACCCCCCCGTCTCTTTCAGAAAAGCAAGTCGGAATGGCCACCCCATCCATCGTGACGATGCAGCCGCAGTATGTCATGGCTGCGCCTGCCGCCTCGAGGAACATGTGGCAGACAGGGCTGATGGACTGCTGCACCGACTGCAGCGTCTGTGAGTGCCTCGGGCGGTCCCGTCTCCCAGCCGTTGGCAGTGACGTGCTGCTGTCGGTCCCATGCCCTCTCGGGACACTTTTCTCGCCCCTGCCGCTCGGGTCGGTGGTGCGATAGCTACAGCCATGTAGCCTGGTCCTCCCCGTTCCTCCCCTGATGCCAGCAGTGCTGGGTGGGCAGGCAGGCAGAGCCTCACCCGCCGCTTCCTTTCTCCCCCTGCCAGGCTGCTGTGGGATGTTCTGCTTTCCCTGCCTCGCCTGCCAAGTGGCTGGGGACATGAATGAGTGCTGCCTGTGCGGGACCAGCGTGGCCATGAGGACCCTCTACCGCACCAGATACAACATCCCGGTCAGTGATTAACCCGCCCCCTCACCGTGCTGCGAGGCTGAACGATGAGGTGCCCCCATGGCCCCTCTCTCTGCACATCGGGGATGAGCGCAGGGCAGCAGCACTCTCCGCTCATCCTTTCTTTCACTTTTGTATCCTGCATGGTGCCGGGAGCACAGGACAGGGGTTGGGACGCCCTTGGCTGCGCTGATCCCTGGGCTGGTGTCCAGCAACGCACATTAATCGGACACAGCTCCTTACCAGCACCCTTTGCCGGGGGCACATGTCCTGCCTGCAGCTGCGGTCAGCCACAGCAGCTCACGGAGCCTCGGCTGCTGCTTGCCCACACCATCCCCAGTCTTCAAAAGATGGGAAGATTTGAGATAATTGTGGGCAGACTAAAGAATGGATTAAGTCGGTTACACAGATGAAGATCCGTAATCAGATGTGGGAGAAAGGTGGACATCTGCATATAGTACATATGTGGAATGTTTTTTTCCCATGGGGAAGGGGGGGTGTTGGTGCCATCATCAGTGCAAACCATGGTGGCTCAAGTCCAGTTGGCCCAAACTGTCTCTTTCTGTGTGCATTTTTCCCCCAAGTCTTAACCTTGGAAGCGGAAAGGTAAGTAGTTATCTGCACCCTGCAGAAAGGGCTCCTTCCTTCCTTTCCACTGCGTGGGAGCTCGCCAGCCATAGTTTTTAGTGCCTGCTACTCGGGATGCTGCAGCCAGCCAGGAAACAAAGGACATGGAATGTGATTAACCTTTTCTTGGCCCGATTTCTTCCTAACAGGGGTCCATTTGCTCTGACTTCTGTGTCACCATGTGGTGCCCCGTGTGCTCCGTTTGCCAAATTAAGAGAGACATCAACCGGAGGAGGGAGATGGGCACATTCTGGTAAGCAGGGCATGCTGGCACTGGTTCATAAAGCCGCCGCTGTACGCAGCCAAGCGGCTTCCTGGAGTTTCTCCTTCTGCCAATGACTGACGTAAGACACAGGGTTGCTACAGTGGGGAAAGGGCCATGGACAGGTGACAAGAATGACCTGTCCTGCAGCAAAATGTTGCTGGAAACCTCATGTAGGATGGGGGGGGGAAGGAGTAGGGGGACAGACACGGTGTGGCAAGGCACAGCCCCGCTCCCTGACCCTCCTCTCCTGTCCCGTTGCAGATGCCACTGTCCTCACTCTGCCCTGCGGAGCCACCATGGGCAGGAGTTGTTGCTGCCCTGGCTGGGTTTGCCTTGATTACGGTTGAGTCCTCCTTCCCTGAGTTACATCATGAATAAACAGCAAAGTTTGCCTTCCTGCCGGTGTGTGTGTGACTCTTGCACCGCCTGAGAGCACCCATCCTTCTCCCTCTCCATCCGTCTCAGCAGCCCCTGGTCCAGCTGAGATTTATCTGCGCCCACTGCAGAGACAGATTTTCACTATTATTTTGTTATTCAGTCAGCTTTTAGAAAGGATGTTTAATACATAGGAGGAGTTGGTGTTGCTCATCCAAGTTGTAAAATTTGGAAAAGTGACTTGTGCTCCAGGGCAGAGCTGGGGCTTTCCGCAGACAGGTGATGGCTGCAGGCCACCGAGTACTGAGCTGTCCCTGCTGCGGTGGCATGGGTGGCCGTCCGGGGCTGCTGGCCAGTCCCACCTCTCTGAACATAAAGCCATGGGGATTTTTGGCTGCCTGGCACCCGCCCACCTCCTGCATTGCAGAGACATGCTCCCCCACTGACCCTGAGCAAGAATTCCCACCCGCCTGTGATTCAAAAGCTGGTTGGGTCATGGGTCGGCCAAGTCCTCTTGGTGGGCAAACCCTGCCGCCTCCCGGCCACAGAGTACGCCTGCCTGCGCTGGGCTGTCAGCGATACGCTCTCTGTCCAGGCAGCGCAGGAGCCCGAGTGCAAGCTGTCCTCCTCTGAAAACCGCTACCAAAAGCAGCGTGTCCCATCGGGGCTCTGGGCCTGCGGGATGCTGGGGGGGGGAAGGCGAGGGGGGCAGCAGGAGCCCGGCAGAAGCGGCAGCAAGCTTGCAGCCAGCTGCCTTCAGCAGGGAAGCTGCAATTGCACAAGCAGCGCCTAAGCCGGCGTCTGGTCTGTCAGTCAGACGGAGCAGAGGTTGTTTACCGGGGCATATAAAGGATGAGAACCAGGAAAAAGACACGTCTGACGGGACAAGGGCAGCTCTGCAGGTACGTATGGCTTGGCTTTGCTTCAGCAAGCGCTGCGGGACAAAACTGTGGAAACTGCTTGTGGCTGAAGCGGTGTTGCCGAGGAAGGGGAAAGGGTGGAAACAGAGGTGAGGCTTTCTACCTGGAAAACTACTTCAGAGCTAAACCAGAGCGTGCAGGTGCTGCTGGCAGGCATATGGATAGAAGTGGCAGCAGAGGTAAAGGACATCAGCTTTTGCACTGTATTGTTCATTTGTGCACATATGCGTGTGCCTATATATAACAAAATGCTGCTTTATGACCTTGGTTAGCGGTGAAATGTGGCTGCGTGCACCTCAGGATCCGTTTTGTTCCCGTCAGCAGTTCCAACACCGCTGGTGGTGCCGTGGAGCTGTAGACTTGGGGGCACTCGGGGTGATGTGCTGGGTGTGCTGGGCCCGGGCCACCTCTCAGGAGATGAGCGTGCAGCAGAAGCTCCTCCAGGCTGCTGCCTGCTCCGCACCCCAGCCCCCATCGGCGCAGGGACGTGGTGTGCTCGTACCTGGGGAGAGGAAGGGAAAGTCTGTGGTCAGCCTTGCCTGCAGAGGTCACAGCGTGTGCGGCAGTGAGCACTGCTCGACTGCATTTTCACCAGGTGCTGCTATTACTCTCGTTATCTGGCAGTGGGCACGGGAGGCTGCTGGGGTCCTGCCCCTAAACCTCCTGCTGCTGCTCCCATGCACGCTTCTCCCTGTGGTCCCTGCAGTCCTGCCTGCTGCTGGGCATCCCTGTCCCTGCATGGGACCCCCATGCTGTCCTTACCTGGCAGCCCCACCACATGGCCTGTCTGTGGTCTGTCCCCTCCCCTGCCTCTCCGGGCTCCTGCTTCTTCTTAAATCGTCCTGTGCCCAGGCTCCCCACAGGGGCTGCCGTTTTGGCGTGCCATGAGGTGTTACATCAGCTGCAGAGGTGGTGGGAATTACCTGGGGCCTCATGCATGAACAAGCAGGGACAGCCGGCCAGGGCAGGGGCTGGAGGTGTCCGGCGAGGGACGATGGGCGCCATGGCTCCTGCTCCACCCACGGGTGGTGGGGCTGCCTGCGCTCGCTCCAAAGGTCCCTGCCAACAGCTGGGTGGCTTGTCCCGGCAAGGGCACAGCAGTATTTTTACTGCTCAACAGCCCTGTTCGGTAGCAGCAGAAAAACACCCTTGTCTTTTAACCCTCAGCAGGGGCCGGTGACTGAGACAACCCCACCAGCTGTCGGTTTGCCCTTCAAGGCCACTTGTCACCTAATGGGAGCAGACGCCGGTGTCTCAGATAGGGTCAGCCCAGCCATGCTTCCGCCGCCTGCAGAAAGCTGCAAAAAAATCATGAGCAAGTAACGTGGAGGCTTTTTACAAGCTTTCTTCCCTCTTATGGCGCAATTCAACATCCCTTTTCCTCTCCATGTACTACCAGGGGACAAGGGTTGGCCATAAGGCAACAGGCTATGTCTGACAGCAGAGATGTGTCTGGGCCAGTCTATAAATGACAGGGAGCCACAGGAGCTGCCGGCAGAGCCGCTGACCCCTTTGCTGCCTGTTGACAATAGTCAATACAAACGCAATGCCACAGCCCGTATCTCTCTGGTGTCGGATGCGGGTAATGCACTTGACGGCATCATCTGAGTGCTGGGCATAGTAATATATTTATTCCACCATATTCCTGGAGATTTGCATTTAATACTTAAATTCTGTGTAGATGTGTAATTCTACCGTGAAAATAATCCCCTTCCCTTTATAGTGTTTTAACAGAATTTACAGGGATTAATGCCATCACCCCTTGCTTCAAAACTTAAATGCTTCCCCTGTTTTTCTTTTTGCTCCTCCCGGCATCCCGAAACTGAGGTGCTCCCTTGTCACACAAGGGCAGGGAGAGGAGGGCTGCTCAGCGGGCACAATCCCCGGGCCCTCACCCAGACACGGGCAGGACAAACCTGTCAAAGCCGGGGAGAGGCGGGCGGGCCACAAACTGTCCGAAGGTGCTCTGCTAAACACCTGCACAGCCCATCGCAGAAATGCCCGTGGGCTGTGTGGGGACGTGGCGGCTGGAGAAGACCTCCCCCAGGAGCTGCCCTGAGACTCTTCCCGGGCAAAGGAGCAGCAGGCGCGGTTACGGGGTCCAAAGTTCAGGCTGCTTTCCTGCTGATGATTTCGTTGCTGAGGATGCGTGACTGTGCACTGGGAGCGGGAGAGAGCCCTTCTAGCTGTAAGAGCACGGGAGCCTTTGCATCTCATCACTGTGCTGCTTAACAGAGTGGTGCCAAGCGTGAGCACGGGGCAGGGAGCATGTCTGTATGGGACTTCCTATGGGAGCATCCTCTTTTTTTTCTTTTTTTTTTAATTAAAGCTCCAAAGCTGAAGTGAGAATGGCAGAGGGTGGTGCCTTGCAGGGGGCAGCGGGGAGGGAAGGGGCCACAGGTGGAGGTGGAGATGGAGGTGGAGTCGTTGCATGGGCCAGGTGAGTTTGGGGATGGTGCTGCAGGGCAGGAGCTCTGCTGCTCTCAGAGGCTGCAGCCCCTCACTGGGGGTGAGGCATGGGCAGAAGTGGGGCTCCAGGAGCCATGGTGGCCCTAGGGAACTGAGGAAGAGGAGGACAAGGATGAGGCACTGGCACAGACAGGCAAGTGGAGGAGGGATGGGAACTGGTGACTGGGCTTAGGGTGATGAAAAGGGACAAGGAAAACCCAATGTCTTGAAGCCTGCTAAGAAAGCAGGTGAAGAAGGAAGGGTGAGGGAGAGGGGGAGACAAACAGGCTGAGATGCTCAGGGAACAAAGCAAAGATTAAGGTGACTACTGAGAGCTTGGGAAAGCTGGCACCAAGCTGTAGTAGCTCTGGGACACTGCGAACATAAAAAAAAAACCAAACACCATTTTAAGCAGAAAATGATGAAAGATGACCTGGGGATGAGAAGACAGAACTGAAGTGTTGAAGCACTGAGGTTCTGAAGCAGAAGGACCTCTGTTTTTACAGAGGCATTTTACTTGCGTAGGCAGGGGGATGAGGTGCTGCTGCCTTTGGTGGCGGGCTGGTTTTGGGGAGGGCTGGGCTGCAAAGGACAGTGGCAGCTCCTGGCAGAGCTGTGCTCCCCACTTTGCGGTGCGGGTGGTGGTGCCCTGGCAGTGGGGACTGCTCGGGGACCTGTGCTGCCCTCGCCATCTTCGAATGCAGCAGCCTGAGCGAGACACTCACTTCAGAAACGTCTGCGGCATCTTTCTCTCATGGCTTTTCCTTCCAGATCACAAACTGCCCAGAGGGACCCGACCCCATGCTGTCAATGGCTTCTCACCACGTGGTCACGGTCCAGCCCCAGTTTTCGGTTGCCCCGCGGGCAGGCGAGTGGCAGTCGGGGCTGCTGGACTGCTGCTCCGACTTTGGCGTGTGTGAGTACATACGTATCCCTCCTTCCTGGTGTTGGCTCACGATGTGTTTCTGGTGTTTTCTTCGGCAGCATTGCCTGTGCTGCAAACCCCACTTTTGTGGGTACCAGCAGCGGAGCAGCTCTTATCTGAGGTCAAGAGCCACGGCTCCCACAGCCACATCCCCGGCTGGCTTTCCCCCCTTTCCTCTTTCTTTGCACCCCTCAGCCAAGCCCATGTCTCACTGTCCCGCAGGTATCTGTGGAACCTTTTGCTTCATCTGCCTGGGGTGCCAAGTGGCCAGGGACATGGACGAGTTCTGCCTGTGCGGCCCCAGCGTGGCCATGAGGACGCTCT